TGATACAAAAGAACTACATTTTGTACTTACATCTGCCGCGAACTGATCAGTCAGTGATGCCACACCACCATCCACTTTGCCCATCTACAAAAGTAATATCCACTGTTTAGACTTTGTTCCAAGTTCACACAGAATCAAAAACTTTCACTAGTCATTTTTTTGCACCAAGGAGAGGCACTCGGAACGAAATAGAATTTTGCTCCTGAAGACTCTTTAAGAATAAGCTGGAGGCAATTCTCTCCGCCTGCAGTATTTAAGGGTTTCGGTCTTGATTTTACTATCTTAACAATTAAGGGAAATTAATCGAAATAAGTGAGGTAAAGTAGTAGTAGGACGCATACGTGAGAATCCAGGAACCTTCGAAGTTTATCCAGAAACCCGACCAGCAAGATTACCCTCTCACTAGCACTTTATGACCAATTGCTTACATGTTGTTTTTATAGCAACTGCCTCTTCAGAATCACTTACAACAGTTGTTCGTAACTTTTATCTTGTTTAGAATTAAATTTAAATACTTTTGAAGATAAGCCGAATGAAAATCAGTGCTGAACTGTTAGCCATTTCAGGCATTCAAGTAAATTAGTGAGAATCCCTATCCAAACTTTTGCCAACGAGTGGTCCCTATTGGCAGGGTGCTATGGTTATATTGAGAGGTTTTCGTTTTTTTCAGTGAGAGCAAAGCTAAACCTTAATGTTTCTTGGCTTCGCCTCTTCGCGAGCACCGGCAACGAGGTTATGGTTCTGAAAAAAAAAACAGGAAAATTAAATCCTCAACGTGAATTTCCTTATATGTTTCTCAAAAATCCTGGAGAATTGAAACCCAATTTTTTGCGAAAAGTGGTTTACGTTGTTGAGCGCCGCCACCATGTAGTTGGATTCAATATATTCCTCAGTCTCGTTGCCCTTGTCTCCACCCTGAATAATAACCATGAATAAATAAATGTCTTTATAAAACCGTTTAGTAGACACAATAGTTTCTTAATGGCCCTTCAAAAGACGGTTTCAATTTCCGGAGTTCGCAAAAACACTTCCTCCTGGAACTTCGATGCAAGTCGAGAGAAGGTGAAAGCTCGTATTTCTACAACCTCTGTCAGGGAAGTCTCACAAAAAGCCGGTATCCTTTGAAGAAATAAGTGATATACGTTAAAATACGTTGAGCTATATTGAGCTAAAGTATGGCTGATAAGGTAATGTTTAAGAACTCCGCTTTGGTGTGTGAAAATTCCACGCGTCTTCCCAAGCTCATATTTACAAAAGATCTCCGCTCGCGGGGAACCCACTAGTGTGGACATATATTTATTTGATCTGGGATCCACATAAATTACATCTAAAAGCTCTGGGATCCACATAAATTACATCTAAAAGCCTGAACTTTTTGATAAACCAGACTTTTTGTCTTACGAAAAGCCAAACTCTTACAGTAACATTTTTTGGAAACTTTTTATAAGACC